GGAACAATATTTGTATGGCCTACAAATAATTGTTCCAGGTCTGGATGTTTGTCCTTGTGAAATTTATGTATGTACACTGCCCTCACAATACAAGAGAAAATCCTACTGTGGAGGTTACATTTTAAAAAAGGAAAAGAAAGAAAATAATTTAGAAAGCAATTCAGTGTCATTTTTCACTATTCTAAAATCGTTCACTCATAGAATTAATATTTTAAGGTCCTCGGCACTTGTTGTCTCACTAAAATAAACTAATGATTTAATACGTATTAATATTTAATACGTGCGTAATCAGGTGATCTGGGAGGTCAATGGCCCGGCCGCCGCGACCTTTATAAGGTACTCCAAACTCTGTATTTGTAAAGACTTTAACATACTTGAAATAAGGTTCAATTTTCTTTATTTTTTATTGAATGACGGAATTTGTATTAATACAAATAACACTGCACTTTTAAAAGTCTTATTGTCTTGAGTTACAGTCCATTACAGTTTGTATTGACTGTACAGGTTTAGTCTGACTGTAAATTACGTAGTTTCAATTATTTTTGGATAAAAAAATTACCTATATTAAAAATGATAGAAATCGATTCAGTACTTTCTCAAAGTGCGTTAATTATGTTACGTGTTGTATGTATATGTATATATATGTCGTGGATTGATGGCGCCATTGTGCTACAAGCAGCGCCATCTAACAATTACCTTTGCAAATCAATATTATCGTTACCGGAAACGCAAGCGCGTCCCACCGCTTGGACACGATCGTCGGTAGAGGGGATGCAGCGAGGGCTAGAGAAGGGACGGAGTATTGTGGCAGTCGAGTTCGGACAGCCGGAGCGGACGCTCGCTACCGACGCACGTGTTTGTTTCCCGTGTACAACCACTAGTCTAAATAAAGTTATTTTTATTTAAATAATCTTTCGCTCGTGTGCCCACATTTACGTAAAACCATGTCGGAGCGTGAAGAAAACCCGATGCTTCGCATCTCGGCCAACCATGATCCGACATCAGAAGTGGGATCTCCTGTTGTCATTTCCGATATCAGAAGTGGGATAAAGTCCCTGTTACTGCCCACCTGTTATAACCTTTGAATAGTGTGAGGGTTATTACGTTGGTGAAATACTGTGTTGTTTTTGTGTTCAATTTCTTAAATCAAGTTTGTTGTCGATTTACAACACTGACGAATCATTAAAGTGTAGAGTGAAAGTTTATAGTGAAATGTTTTAAGCCAAAAGTTAAATCATTTTGTTCGATTTATAATAAAAAGTACCGGCAAGTACTTTCATTATTTCTTAACGTACCCAAAATGGAGGTATTCTAAATGAGTTATAGTTTGTATTCAGTGGAAGCTTAACTTGCTCAAGTTATGCTATAATTTGATACACGAGGTGTGATTTACATGGGCTAGTTTTAAAGTTCAAAATGTTTAAACAATGTACCGAAAACAAAATTGTTTAACTTTAGCGTGCTATGGATTAAAAACACTAAGTAGTATTTTTGTGTTCTAATGTGTTGATAAGTGTTACAGTTTACTCCGAGTATTACGTAATCGACAAAATTTGGATTTAATGTTGAGGGTTTAGTGGAAGACGTGGTGCTGTGGCGCTCGCTCTTGGATGGAAGTGTACTGTCAATGTATGATGCCGCGGACACATTATTTGCCACTTTTACCGATCACCATTTGATACATGAGAAAAGTAAATTTATCTTAAGGTTAACTGGTGGCGAAAAATGCCGGAAAACCAAAGTATAATTAACGAAATTGAAGTGGAGCAAATTACTTCAGACATTGAAGAGAGTATTTAAGTTTACAAGAGAATCGGACCGTACAAAAGGAGGTCGTGTAGCCGCAGCTCAGTATATGGTGCCCTGGAAAGATGAATAGTGTCCTGAGAGTACTGCTGCATTTTTATTTGAAAAGAAAAAGTTCCAACTGAATATTTTTAATGTTTTCTTTTATGTGTTACAGTAGCATGTGTGATGTGATTACAAGTGCGTGAGTGTGTGCCTTACTGGTCGTAACGGACAGCCAGGTCCAGCTGTAACATGGCCTGGTTTCGGCAGATGCGTATGCCGCGTATACGCAGGCGCCATCCCGGAGCGCGCGTATGCTGTACATGGCGATGCCTCGGAAGTCGTGTACTCTGTATGCGTGGGAGTCACACTGTGTGCGCGGAAGTGTTATACTCTGTATGCGCGGAAGTCGTGTTCTCTGAACATGCATCAGGCTCTATCCTGGCAGGCAGTGTCCTGGTTCGCGTTTTTGACGTGATTCACGTGGTTAACGTGTGATCTCGCAAGATCAAGTAAGAGTATGTGTGAGATACTTCGTATGGAGATGTATGCTTACTTGTGAAAGCGAAGTGCTTTCTTATAGTCCACGGTATGAAAGCGTATTTCTGTTTGAGGGACTCGTATGCGTGATGGATGAGAGGATAGGCAACTGTGTACATTGTCCTGACATTAACAACTTGTTTTTACGCAGATCACGATGACGACAACCCCGACGATGCCTGTGAACCCTCAGGTGAACCTGCTGCTTCCGTTGACGCTTGGAGTGCGTGGTACGATGCAGCATCTCGCTGGCGATGGTGAGATGCGACGACTCGTTGGTGCGAGTGAGGCACGCCGTGTGCTGTTCTTTTAGCCACGTGCACTTGCCACATGGTAGCTAACTATGGCGTGTGCTGGTTTATTTTAATAGCCACGTGCGCTTGCATTACGCCTGCCGCAGAGGCGAGCAGTGAGCGACGTGTTGATGTTCACTGTGTGAGCAATCCCAGCGGTGTGCTGATGAATACTGGTGAGTCGTACCCATTAAATTATGATTCTGGGCCGAATGCCCTCTCATCACAGATTGTGTTGTGGCAAAAGTGTAAAAATTCCCCCATGATCATGTGAGGAAGATCCCCCATCACCAAGTTCCTTGAGATTCAGAAGTCATAGTTGATGACAGTGGTAGTGAGACCAAATTTGATTAAGAATGCTTGTATACTCATACTCGGAACTTTAGACCGCACCTCATGAGTAACATGTGGCGATGGGTCTGTGGGAAATCGTTGGTGCGATTTCTGTCTGTGTTGGTGCATATTTGGCGGCAGATATGTAGGGAATCGTTGGTGCGATTCTGCCATATGTGGCGGCAGATGTGTTGTAGCATATTTGGCGGTGGATATGTGGGGAATCGTTGGTGCGATTCTGGCATATGTGACGGCAGATATGTAAAGAATCGTTGGTGCGATTCTGGCCTGTGTTGGTGCACAGAGCCCCTCGTGGTATTATAGCATATGTGACGGCAGATATGTGGAGAATCGTTGGTGCGATTCTGGCATATGTGACGGCGGATATGTAAAGAATCGTTGGTGCGATTCTGGTCTGTGTTGGTGCACAGATTTCAATGAAAGTTTCACGAGTTGAATATGCATTGCTTATGAATTGTAAAGAGTAAAAAAAATGTTAAAATTACTGTGTTGGAACTTGTTGATCGGACCTTTCACAATGAACCTTGTTGTGCAGGAAGCACTGTGTAAGAAGCCTTAATAACAAGGCATTGTCAATTAAGACAGTTGACTATTGTACTTAGACTTAGGAGAAGTAAAGTACCATTTGGATTCGACTTATTTTTATAGGCAGGATAGCCGAGCTAAGTTATTCTCTGAGAATATTTTGTCCCCAGGCACTGCACCCGAGGACGGGTGCTAGTCAGGGATGGCCGTGTCGTGGATTGATGGCGCCATTGTGCTACAAGCAGCGCCATCTAGCAATTACCTTTGCAAATCAATATTATCGTTACCGGAAACGCAAGCGCGTCCCACCGCTTGGACACGATCGTCGGTAGAGGGGATGCAGCGAGGGCTAGAGAAGGGACGGAGTATTGTGGCAGTCGAGTTCGGACAGCCGGAGCGGACGCTCGCTACCGACGCACGTGTTTGTTTCCCGTGTACAACCACTAGTCTAAATAAAGTTATTTTTATTTAAATAATCTTTCGCTCGTGTGCCCACATTTACGTAAAACCATGTCGGAGCGTGAAGAAAACCCGATGCTTCGCATCTCGGCCAACCATGATCCGACATCAGAAGTGGGATCTCCTGTTGTCATTTCCGATATATATATATATCAGTTAACCCTTAACTTGGCAGAGTGCATCAGTGGATACACTGCTCTTTAAAAAAATATTGTAGGAAAACTAAACGAATTTTGACATAGATTTTCTTGTAATAAGTTAGTTTATGAACTATGATATTTAGTAGGATTTATAGTTTTATTGCTAGTAACACTGAACTGTCAGTAGCCCGCAAGATGGTAGACCGTAAGAAGGCGTCTACGCACAAGCCGGTAAGTATTATGTATTTTGCTACTTTTTTATGCATTTTTGATTATTATTTGAAGTGAAAGTAAATGCAGTAATACTATATTATTCCTGGATGTAGTTTTTTGATACCAAAACTTTATATATTCGATTTTACAACTCAGTTTGTCCATATGTATCTCTGAGTATACACTGCTAGCTACGCAAAAAACTAGTGCTACTTTGACATGTATCTATGAAAATACACTGCTGTTTATCAGTGAATGTATGTCTATGCAAAAAAAAAGATAATTGTTGATTTTTTTATATTCCTAATCAACACATTTAAATAAATTAAAAAAAATAATAATTTGTGTAACACTTGTACAGTAAGTGTAGTAGATAGATATATATTTTTTTATAATTATGTATGCTTTGGTACAAATGCTCATACATACCCTCACCGGCACGGAAACTTGGCCACTCGTGAATTTGCTGATTATTTGCACTGAAACGTTTTTTTTAACAGTAAATTAAGGGTAGATGCATTCAATAAGTGTCTCTAATGGTTTTAGAACGTAGAAATTTAATGTTTACTTCACCGAAATTTTTCTTTTCAAGATAACATGTTTTCACTAAAATTAACATCTTTCCATTGTCACTTTAAAAACACTACAAAGTTAAAAATTAAGTCTGTTTCTTTATTGTCTATCAGTTTTAATATCGGGTGTTTCCTCCCCTAGCCCTGATAACCGCTTGCATTCGATCTGGCATGCTTTGAATGATGTTTCTGACATCAACTTGCGGTATGCTGTCCCAAGCGGCCAGCGCTGCATTTCGGAGCTCATTTAGAGTTTGTGGCGGTTTGGAGCTGGACTTTATCTTTCTTTTGAACATACCCCATACATGCTCAATTGGATTTAAGTCCGGGCTACGAGCTGGCCACTGTAATTTTTGTATTCCAACCTCTTCCAGATATTCCTCTACACAATGTGCGACGTGCGGGCGTGCATTATCGTGCATGAGGAGGAATTGGTCGTGTCCAATGAATCCCGAATAAGGAATTACGTGCTCCTGAAGAACTTCCTAGATGTATCGAGTAGCTGTAAGCCGATTATCGACGATGACCAACTCTGTACGTGCGTCGGAACTTACACCTCCCCATACCATTATTGAGCCTCCATGGAAACTCACAGTTTGGGTGGTGGTAATGGGTAGAAACCTCTCTCCTCTTTTTCTCCACACTCGTTCTCGACCGTCTGGAGCACGTAAAGCTATTCGACACTCATCTGTGAACAACACTCTAGCCCATTGCTCGTGGGTCCAATTGACATGTTCTCTTGCGAACTGAAGTCGGGCTACTCGGTGCTGTCTGAGAAGTTCTGGACCTCGTGCTGGTCTACGAGCTTTTAAATTCACTTCCTCCATTCGTCTTCTCACCGTACGCTCACTAACATTAACGCCTCTTGCGATTTGGCGCCGCTGGCGTATCTCAACAGCGGTCAGGTAGCGGTTTCTCAAAATCTCCATAACAATAAAACGATCGTCCCGGGCCGATGTGCACCTTACGCCCCCACTGTCTGGCCTGCGGGTGTAGCGTCCTGTCTCCTGGTATCGTTTCAGTGAATACTGCATTGAGGACCGTGGTACGTTAAGCACAATAGCAACTTCACGCTGTGTCAGCCCTTGGTCAATTAATGCTACTGCTTGTGCAACTTGTGCTGGTGTTAATGGCATTTTTATTGGCTTTAAAGCACCTTTAGTTATTGAGTTAAGACACAAGATCACAATAATTGAATAACCTTACAGTAAACTTTTCACAACACACAAATTTAAAATGTGAACTTAGTCGCTCAAATGACCCGATTCAACTAAAAATTAAAGAATTCGTCATGGTGCACTTAAACATAATGAATTACCCTCTTGAACTTGAGAGCAAACATTTTTTGACATACCTGCATAACAAACATTCATCAGAAACACTTAAAGCTTTTGCTATCGCGAGATAACCGCTTGGCCAAGATTCCGTGCCGCTGAGGTATTTAAGATAAGCTGTACGATAATAAATGTTTGTTTCCAGATTTCATAACAAAAGCTTCAACAACAACTAAACAGAGCCCGCAGAATTCTAGCCCTAGTTCCAAAATATGGAGCTAGGTCAGATGTAGGTAGCAGAGATGATTCAGCTGATAAGTTATATAAGTATATCCCTCCAACTCTTTCAGACAGTAGCTCTCCACCTCCATCTTTGCCATCGTCTTTGTTGGATCTAAACCTATTATCGGATAGCAATAAAGAGATAGATGAAATAACGCACAATTCTCCAGCTTTGCAACTGTACTCGTCGCCTGCAAGTGATACTTGCGCTTCGCCATCAATTTTGTCACCAAGGCAATCATCATCAATTTTACTGTTACATGCTGCTGAAATTAGTTCACCAAAGCCAGGGTGTTTCGGGCATTGTATATGACTTTGGTATATAAAGGGGAAGATACATTCCAGTTCACTTTGTTTACCGAAGTAGAAGAAAGCATGGGATTAGGTGCAAAAGTCGTCATAGCTCTAGCCAAATCCATTTGGCAGCCTGCTTGTAAAATCTTGTGCTTTGACAACTTCTTTATCTCAATTGAATTGATGCACCGACTGAGAAATGAATACGGTATTTTTTCTTTGGGAACTGTTAGATTCAACCGACTTCGTGGAGCACCGGAGAAACTTCCTACTGATAAAAAAATAAAAAAGAAACTGAGGTTCACATGCTCAGGTTGTGTGTAACAAAAACAAGATTGTTGTTACCAAGTGGTACGACAACAAATGCGTCACTGTTGCAAGCACATACGTAGACTCACATATTCACGGTATAACAAAGTACTGAGAAAGAAAATACCAGTACCATGTCCACGAATGATAAAGGAGTACAACTCCAATATGGGTGGCGTGGATTTAGCGGATATGCTTATTGCGTTATACAGAACAGAACTCAAGGGACATCGCTTGTATCTACCTCTGTTTTCGCAAATCCCTGAAATATGTAATATGTGTAATATATGTAATATGTAATAACGCTTGGCTTGTGTACCGACGAGGTGCATCAAATAAGTCAAAATTAATGCCATTGAAAGAATTCAGATATGAAATTTACCGAAGCTTACTTTTGTTTGACAGAGGCGTTTCTGCCAATAAACTCATTAAATTATGTACCCCTAATAAAAAACCAGCTGCAGAGAGATCCATTGTCGCTGTATGATATGACCAAGTTGGGCATATATCAGTATTTCAAACTAAAGGCAGGTGGAAAAAATTGCACAAAAGGCCAATTAATTGTCAAAAATGTAAATTAAGACTTTGTTTGGTAGAAGAGCGCAACTGTTTTCATGCATATCATACCAAATAGTATTGTAAAGCAAATAATTTGTATTGTTTGATTATATAACGTGATCTCATAATTATAAAACTGTTTATTTGATAATAAAAATGATAAACAATTGTTGATTAATTACAATTAGAATCTATTTTTTGTTACAATGTAAACATGGCACTGTATCTGTCAGGAGACGTACTTTTTATCATGTAAATTGTTGCTTACCTGGCTGTGTGCACTGCAGGATACGTTCAATAAAAAAATATCTAAAAGCAAAAGATTTTTTTTAATATTTTATTCACCTTTTATTTACCTAATTAAACACCCTGATTGAAAGAAAAACAATAAAATAAGGAAAAAAAATATCTGCCAAGTAAAGGGTTAAGAAACGGTTTTGAGAAAATCTATCCCTAATGGAGTGAAATGGGAGTTGGAAGTTTGTATGAAAGTCCTACGTTTTTGAAGTTAGAGACACGAAAATCGGCATTAAAGTTATAAGTTTTCAATAATAAAATCCTGAATAAGCTGTTTTACGAAATCCTAACCCTAAGGGGGTGAAATTGGGGTAAAATGGTTACATGCAAGTCCTATATTTTTAAAGTATAGGTATGAAGATCGACATTTACTTTATTAGTTTTAAATAATAAATACTTGCATAGTTAAGCTTTACCTATATAGCCTCTTTATACTTAGGTAAGACTTTTGCAGCGGGAAAATTCCAAAATCTCATAGGAAATCAGATATTGTACGCGGACGAAGTCGCGGGCCGCCGCTAGTTACATAATATATGTGTTATGTAATTGTGTGATAAGTATATTTTTTCTTACCTGTCCACTTTTTCCGGTGGTTATTAAAAAGCTTGTGATATCTCCACTTAATTTTGGTTTTTCAGGAAGAAATATTTGTGATTCCTTTTTGTGGAAAGATATTAGATGCTTCCTTAAGCCTAAAGTATTTCTGTTTTTCATTTTTATTTCCACCTTATTATGTTGGCATAATTTACACAAAGCAATTTGGGATGCATGAATTATGTCGAAAAACTCATCAAATTTGCTTTTAGGTCTTTTAGATCTATAACTCCAACTCTCACTACTCCAACTAGAACTATTCGACTCTTCGTCACTCATGTCAAATTGTAAACTTATCACTCCGAGAACAACAAGGATGAGAGTAAAAACAATTAATACATTAGACTCGAAGCAAAGCTCAATTGGGAATGACTGGAATTAAAATAAATACTACTATTTGTAAGTACACGCCGAAAGACCGACAAAGGAAAGTTCGGCATTCTTTGATAAAAATAACGATTCTTCGGAAGATTAATAAAGTAGATGCGTTGCCAGATAGGTATAGTGTGCCTACGTAAAAATGAAATGTAAATATGTAAATAAAATTGTGTATATTATGTTCTTCTTGTGATTGAATTAATCAACGTTAATTACATTAAATTTGCCTTCACTCGTTTGAAATTCAAAATTCAAATATGTTTTATTCAAGTAGGCATTAAAAATACACTTTTGAATAGTCATATAATCACTGTTTTCCCCAATTTTTTCTTTTCCATGTCCAGGGGTTCTGATTCTACTGAGAAGAATCATGGAAGAAAGTAAGAAACTCAGTAGTTGCTCTTTTCAAAATATTTTTACAATAGTACTATAATTATGTAAAGCGATAAGTCAAACATAAAATGTCAAATGTATATGTAGATACCAAATCGGTTTAGAAATTTCTAGTTAGTCCTGTGTAGTACGAGAGGTCAGTTCCAAGCATTTTTGTCTGACTTAAATTGAAAAGGTGAAAGATCTAACATTTCTTTTGGAATCTTATTATAAAAGCGTATATCGCTACCCAAGAACGCATTATATACTTTGTGTAACCGGAAACTTTGTTTGTGCAGGTATTGTGATTTTATTTTTATTTCTACTATTAAAATTGTGCAAATCACTATTATTTACATCAATTCGATGCAATCAATTTCTTTAAACGGTTCTCTAAGAGATACTCGGGCTCCTAAAAAGTACATAGATCTTATTTTACGCTTTTTATTTAATATGCACACTTTTTATATTATTCGATTAGCATTGTACAAAATGTTTACACGTTTCAAGTGTGTTAAAAGTGTCTACAATATTTATCAAATGGGTGACGACATATTCGAACACTTTGTGTTCAAAAACACACACTTCCAAAAATCGAGATTTGCAGTGAACTTATTGAACATGTTTATCTATTACGTAATAATAATAATAGTAAGTAATTATTATAAACCCATATAGTTAATACTATAATAATTACTTACTAGAATAAATTATTATGAATCTACCTATCCTTACCATTATCTAATTACAATATTCCTTGCGAGATCAGCATAATGTATTCGTGTCCATTCTGAGCATCCGGAAACTTATTTTATTCTTTGGAACATGTACTCTGTGGCGGCATTCAAACAGTGTCAAATGTTGTACGTGCGGCAGGGCGGCGACGATTGTATGCGATATCAATAGAAGCCGCCGGCGCGTGTATCTTGACCTTGTACTTCCGAATAGCTGCAAAATTTCTTTGACAGGTCAGTATTCGACCTTTGATGATGCCGACAACACGACGCCGCGCACTATCAAAGTGCCGATGGTCAAAACTAGGGATGCTCTTTTTTCTTTTAATG